CAGCAGGAAACCCACCGGTGTTTTCTTGCAGAGGTAGGAGGTAGCTCTTGCTGTAGTAACTACCGTCATTCATCAGAAAGCTGCCAAACAGCTCCCTTAAAATTAAATTTAAGTGCAGGCATTTTCCTAACTAGTCATGGAATAATCATAGACACTGTGGCACTATTACCAGCTCTGGAGTCACAGCAAAAGAAGGACATGGAGGTGCTGGAGCGTGTCCAGAGAAGGGCAACGAAGCTGGTGAAGGGCCTGGAGCACAAGTCTGATGAGGAGCGGCTGAGGGAACTGGGGCTGTTTAGCCTGGAGAAGAGGAGGCTGAGGGGAGACCTCATCGCGCTCTACAACTACCTGAAAGGAGGCTGTAGCAAGGTGGGGGTTGGTCTCTTCTCCCAAGTAACAAGCGATAGGATGAGAGGAAATGGCCTCAAGTTGCGCCAAGGGAGGTTTAGACTGGACATTAGGAAAAACTTCTTTACTGAAAGAGTGGTCAGGCCTTGGAACAGGCTGCCCAGGGACGGGGTGGAGTCCCCATCCCTGGAGGTATTTAAAAGACGTGTAGATGAGGCGCTTAGGGACATGGTTTAGTGGGCATGGTGGGGTTGGGTTGACGGTTGGACTCGATGATCTTAGAGGTCTTTTCCAACCTTAATGATTCTATGATTCTATGATTCTATGAAAATACAGACAGGAAGAATGTCATCTTGTGCTGGAGTATCAATTCTTCTATGGCTGCTAAAACTCAAATAATAGGGATAATAGCATCCTAAAACAAATACGCCTTTACATAGCAAGCACATTTTGCTACGAAAGACTTGCTCACCCTACGGCAGTTAATGAACAGGTCAAAGGAGAATCTGTATTTCACTTCTAGTTTAAGACTAACGTTCTACTCTGTTCTTTAGCCTGCTTTAGCCCTTAGCACACAGTGTGTATCTCACTGCACAATAATTAATGGAAAGAAGCACGTCTCTAAATCTGAGTGCTTCGCCTGTGTATCCCTTATTCCCATGTATCCAAGAAAATTGGCAAATGAAGACGCATGCGACCAACACAACACCCCGTCTGCACCCATGACCAAAGACCATCCTTGTGACTAACCTCAGCCAAATATACCCTAGAAAAAACTATTTGTTGCAGTGCTAAACTCCCCTTAGCACTGTAGTCTCAGCGTACTTCCCACGCTTGAAGACTTCTACCCAATTTAGAGTCAAGAGCTGTTTAAAACTGATCATATTGAGGCTTCAACTGGTCTAATTCTGTAGTACGAGTGGCTCCCATGTATTTTTTCCCCTAAGGGCTTGCAATACATCTGTAAAAGCGTTGCTACAAGCACAATCTGACATTGACAAAAACAGCCTAAAATAGATTTTACTTTTTTTCAGGTTTCATCAAACAGACGCGTTCCCTACATCTCTCTGCAAATAACACAGCCTGTAGAAGCAGGACTGACAGTGACCCCAAAGCCATGTTCGTTGCTTCCCATCTCTGCTACCCCTCAGGCTGCTTTAGACTAAACAACCCACATTTTTCTGTTCTTTCTTCATAGGTCATGTTTTCAGATTTTTGAGCCCAAGACTGCTTATCTACACCACATGAGTCGTTTTCTCATGCTCTCTGCCAGCCTTAGCCAGCTGCAGAGTGAGATGTTTCCCTTGATGTGTATGTGACAGGCTTCACTTGGCAGAGCCCGTTGCCAAGAGTCACAACCTAAAGACCACCGGATGGTCCAAAGATACAGATTTTCATTTCAAACTCAACATCCATGCTAGGTTTATTCTTATCCAAAGACTCACTGGCTATATAAGTTGAATGAGAGGCAGATGTCCCAGTCCAATCTGAACAGATAATGTTAAAATATCTTGTAACTGGTTTCTTTATCAGCAGTCTCAAAAGGGAGGCTGCCAACAAAATATGGCAGTAACATGAGCTCTTTGAAGCTAAAGACCACGTCTATGCTGCCAGCATCAGAAATTTGACCAAGCTTTAGCTCCAGCGTTGGAAGAGTTGTGGGTGTAGTAGCACAGCACTCGGCAGACTCGGCGTTACCCCCTCCCCATGTGGGCTCTGCGCCTCTCCCACCTCTGGATGCTGCTCAGACACGTGCCCTGACCAGCCTGTTCTGCTTATGGCTATTCTGCAGTCTACAGACCCAAACAGGCTGGATTTCAGTCTCCCAGGACACCAGCTTGCTTTTATTTTGGACCTCCCCACTGCCCCCGCACTGGATTAAATTTCAAACATTTAGGGATGCAAATATCTGGCCCATGGATAAGGCTGCAGGATAACTATTCCATAGCTGTCATTCATAAAGTGGAATCAACATATGACAAGTTAATCATCTGCTTTTAACTAATTCATCCCATTACTTGCAGGTTAATATCTTCATAGTGTGAAGATTAATCTGATAGTCTGGCAACTTGGAAGACCCAAAACCGCAGCACAAATGAGCACGCATATGTCTACTGCACTCATCATCAACCTGGACTTAATGCATTGATCAACCAGCGTACTTGACAGTAGCTGGGGAAAGTCAATCTTTGCTGCTTTTTTCTCATAAACTTGTTCATGAAAAAATTTTTCATAAAGCTGTAAAAATGAAATTAAATGGGTTGTCAGTTTTCTCTCTTTGCTCATCCAACCAGCATTTGCAGTCCCTACCCCGGTTTATCAGGCTTGGGTACTTCTCTAATGCAATATAAAGGTTCTCCAAGAATACAGCACACAAGTCACTTCTGCTTGGTGGCATTTCCGCAAAGAGGAGGTACCAAGAGAGCATCAGATCTTGGACGTGGGTGGCTATAACCTGCAGTCACCAAGGACAAATACAAATTGGGTTACGGTTCTTGGAAGCAGAGAATTTCGGTAAAGCCTTTCGTGTAGCTGCTCCCCAAGCAGCACTTAAAATTCATTCAAATTAGAACAGCTAGAGATCCAATTTGAGAGTTGAAGATGCGAATTTGGCCAAAGAGCTCAGGATTTATTTTGTGCTTTTAGAGTGACTTGTATTTAAATACATCTTTCTTTTTAAAACAGATGTATTTAATATCGTGGGGAAAAAATCTGTAGTTGATTTAAAGTCATAATCTTTTCAGGTGATGTAAATTGAGAGAAACCAGCAGTAGTGAACTTTTTGGAAAAGTCAAACTCCTGAATAGAAGCTGCTGCCTGAGCATCTGAGCATTTCAACCGAACAGGGCTTGTAAATTTTAACTTGGGTTTTACTCAGAGGCGCATCCTCAGCAGATGCATAGAGAACATTTCTGTAACGATCTTCTACCCCACGAGTTTAGCTCAGCAAAGAATTGGTTCGAACCTGGGAGAGTGATGAAGGTTGACACAGCAGGAAGGAGCATGTGAAATGACAGTTCTACCTGTTTTCACTTACTGATGCCTTCACATATTTAGAAGTATCAGCTCAGATCCTTCGTTATCCATAACACTTCCTTTGTTTAATCATTTTAAATGTAGAACAGCTTCAGATAAGGTTATTTCCCCTCTTATGTATTCATCACATCTAAGAGTGCTTTAATTAGCTAAGAAATAAAATTCTGTATACATAATTTAACCGAGTGCCTGTTTTGCCCAACTTGGCAAAAAAACCCAAGTGTACAAGTAATCATAAAAAAAAAGCATTAGTTGCGATTTGCCAACGTAAGTAAAATGTAAAGGAATGGCACAAATATTACTACGTATTTAACCACTCTGAAAAATGGGTGCAGCTGTGGTCTATCCTTTTTAGCCAAAAAATGCAGTTTAATGGAAAGTCTAAAATTACAAATATGTTCATATGGTTTTCAAAGAGACGTGGATCTTTCCTTAAGATATATATATACACACACACACACATATATATATTAAAAAAGCCAATTTTTAACAGGAT